AGCCCAAACTCTGATTTTCTGAACATGCAGCTCGGATTGATGGTGAACACACAGCACACACTGACTAAGAGTAGAACACGCAGCCCAAACTCTGATTTTCTGAACACGCAGCCCAATTTGAAGGTGAACACACAGCCCACACTCTGATTTTCTGAACACGCAGCCCAAGTTGAAGGTGAACACACAGCCCACACTGATTGAGAGTAGAATACGCAGCCCAAGTTGAAGGTGAACACACAGCCCACCCTGATTGAGAGTAGAACACGCAGTCCAAACTCTGATTTTCTGAACACGCAGCCCAATTTGAAGGTGAACACACTGCCCACACTGATTGAGAGTAGAACACACAGCCCAAACTCTGATTTTCTGGACACGTAGCCCAATTTGAAGGTGAACACACAGCCCACACTTATTGAGAGTAGAACACGCAGTTCGCTTACTTTTCTTCGCACGCAGCCTATTTACTTGCACACATCTTATTCATTTCATTGGCACACAACTCATTCATTTCATTGGCACACAGCTCGTTCATTTCATTGGCACATAGCTCATTCATTTTTTACACTGACACATGTATTCATTCTGAATGCAGGTTGGTTCTCGCACTGTGCGGGGATATGGCTCCACCGCTGCGAGAGATTGGTATGTTGAGCTCCCAGAGGCTGTCCGGGATTTAGTCGATCTGGCGGGGTTCGGGGCCTTCTGCGTTAGGTTATCGTATTGTCCTGCCAAGAGGATACTGATGGCAGCTTTGGTGGAGAGATGGTGGGACACCACCAACTCCTTTCATTTTTCTGCCACTGGGGATTTGACTATGACCCCACTGGATTTTACTGTATTGGCTGGCCTGGACATAGGAGGCTGGCCCATTTCTTATGACGAGGACATGGCCGAATGGGAGGCCGCTTGGATACATTTGCTGGGGGCCCGCCTGCCTGTTGACAGAGCTTCAGGGAGAGTCCGATACACCTGGTTCTCTTCCCATTTTCAGAGGGAGGAGATGGAGCCCGGGACTCCTGAGGAGACAGAGCAGTATGCCCGTGGTTTTCTTATGTTCCTCTTCGGGACTACTCTGTTTGCCGATAGAGGGAATACAGTTGGGCTGTATCTGTTGAGCGCTCTGGTCGACCTATCACAGGTCGGTCGGTACGACTGGGGTGGCGCCGGCCTGGCTACCCTTTACTGTTACATGAGCGCGACCTCCCGCGGGCAGGGAGACTTACTTGGCGGTTATTGGAGAGCCTGAGAGGTACTTTCTGCCTTTTTAATTTATATTTTTGCTCCCCATTACTTGTACATTGCACACAAAGCGCACTTTACAGTCTGTATTTTGCCCTCAGCACTTTGTACTTACATTCTGCACTGCTTTTCTCAGTTATGGGTCTACGTATATTTCCCGATGTTAGCCCCAGAGTTGGAGGTGGCAGGGCCCTTCATGACCCCGTACTCACTGGTGTTCGAGGGTCAGCACCGGCCGAGACCCCGAGAGACTCTCTTTTATCTACGGCAGTATTTTGACTCTGTGCGAACGACGGAGGTATTTGAAAAGTCTCGGTCCTTTCCATTTTCATCTTTGATTTGCCCCGCATATTCCCGATTTCTGATTGGTTTATGCACTTGTTATCCGCAGATTACATGGCAACCCTGGGCACCCTTGGGTGATGGTCACCGATTTCAGTATGCCAGAGGATCGGGCACCTCCCAGTACAGGATCCTGCTCGAAGGACCGGTTGGTAGAGCATCGTTTCTGGGGGAACGCTTTTTGCGTCAGGTATGTGGGTACACTTCTCAGGACCCTCCCGCGGCACCCCCAGTCAGTATGCGGACTGCTGATAGGCTCTCTTCCCAGGATGTAGTCAGTGCTATGCTGGGTACTGATACTTTGCTACATCTCGAGGAGGGGGATTACGCCACTTACCGTCATACATACCTGATGCCTCCATTGACGGGAGTTCGCATCTCGATGATGAGGTCTGCTGGTACGCCATCCTCGAGCCAGGCCCGGGCTCGGGCTGCAGACGCCCCTTCCACCAGCAGGACTGGTACATCTAGAGGTAGGGGTAGATCGGTTCCCCCGATTCCTCCGACTTATCCTCATCCTGGATGGCCAGACATGCCGACTGAGCTGATGGGGTGGCAATATGGGACTACCTCTCCGATTTCGATCCCGATAGAGCCTCCGTTGCCCGGTCGTCGATATGTCATTGATCCCGACTCACCGCTGGTATGTTCTACTGCTTTTCATCTATTATTCAAATGCTTAGACACTCCTTTATTCGTTGATGATTTGAGCTCGTATTTGCAGCCACCCAGAGAATACATGGAGGAGGTGATCGGATTGGTGGCCTCACTTGAGGGGATGGTCCTGCGGAGGGAGGCACAGTTGTCTATCATGGGCATCCAGGTACCCTTTAGTTTTCTGGCATTTATCATACTTCTGATGACATGCTGATTTCTACTGCATTGATAGGCTACTTGTGTAGAGCACATCTGACATACACCCCACTTGTACATTGTGTTTACATGCACTCATTTCATGTAGTTTTTGCTTGTATCTGCATCTGATGTACATATTTGGACTGATGTATTTGAATTGAACTCTTTATTTTCAGATGCCCCTGGTATACGCTCAGCCGCAGGCCAGGCCACCCGGGCCTTCTCAGGGAGGTCGATCATCTGGATCTTTTCGAGGTGCTGGGTCATCTGGGCCCTTTCGAGGAGCTGGGCCATCCAGGCCTTTTTAGGGAGCTGGGCCATCCAGGCCTTTCCGAGGAGCTCGAGGAGGGTCCTCTCGCAGACGCAGGGCACATGTTATAGAGCCGGAGCCCGATGAGGTGGAGGAGGAGGAAGAGGAGGTTACAGACCGTCAGTCAGAGACATCTGCTGAGGAGGGGGACTCTGGTCTTGGTTCCGGGAGTGGAGGCGAGGCTGAGGGGGATCCTGAGGACGACAGCTCCGACCCGGATGATGATGGTGATGCAGAGGTTGTCCCGCCGAAGAGAACGAAGAGGGCCTCTTATTACTGCTCTTGAGAGCACAGATGCGGCTGTTCCCTGTTTTATTTATCTTTTTGCTAGTAGTTGTAGCACATTTGTATATTATCAGGCAGTTTATTTTCTGTAAAACTTGTGCCTTAGTCTGTAAAATGCTGTAACAAGCGAGACGTGATGGGATGAAACAGCTTTTGAAAAAAGTATTGTATTTTAAACTTTTAACATCATCGCATCACTTTGCACCAAAATGAGATTGAATAGAAACATGCATTGTGCATTCTGCCCAGTCAGGTAGTGAACCGACGCAACAACCTAACTTTTTAAGATATAACATAACCTCAGTAAGTTTACAACTCAATAAGCAAAATACAATAGAACTACTTAACTTTCTAAGACATAACAAAACCTTAGCAAGTTTACAACTCGATAAGCAAAACACAACAGTATTGACAACTCAAGACTCAAACAAAATTGCTTAAACAGAGAGTAACAACTCAAAAACACGAAATACGACAGCTCGACAAACAACTCGATAAGGAAAATGACAACTCGATAATCAAAACAACAACTCGATAAACAAAACTCAACAACACAAAGTGTACTCCGGACGATCTGGGCGATGGAACGCATCCAAAACAGAGGGAAATGAAGGCCTTTGACTCTCCCGTTGCATGGAAATGCTTGTAACCTTCTCTCGGAGGGTAAAACAGGGCTAAAGATACACATTGGAGCATGGCCGGCTACTTTTGGGAGCCGGCCGGCCAGATTTATTGAAGAGAGGGGGCCACCGGCCAGTTTTGAAAAAGGAAATGGCCGGCCTGCCAGAAAAGGTGGCCGACAGGCCACTTATCCCTGCAGCTGCCAAATTTTTGACACTTGTCCTCCTGAATAGTGTTTTTCCCTCTTTAAAAGCCCTAGCTCCATGGTTCATTCAATTCACCTCAGTTTTGCATCAGAAATTAAGGTGTTTCTTATTGAAAACCTCACAGCTTGGATCGCTTCTCTAGATGGTTCCGAAAAGCTGAACTTCCAGGGTTTCGGATTGAATGCACGGTTCACGCTGAGTCGCACTCTGTTGCACCTCCCTTTCCTCCATGCCGCGGCGAGGTTTTGGAACCCGGTGACGCATGTCTTTAGCTTTGGTAGGCAAGAGGTATGTCCGACTTTTGAAGATTTTCAAGTTTTGATGGAATCTGAAGGTCGTGAAGAGATCTTGCCCCAGTTCCGCTTCGGTCACGCCCAGGCCTTGGGGCGGATGTGTGGACTCACCACGCATGATGCTCGATCTCTGATCTGTAATGGGGAACCGGATATCCTTGGTTTGATTCATCGCTTTTCTGACGCCGGTGACCGTAGCAACCATTATTGGCAAGGTTTCCAGCAACACGCCCTTTGCTTGTGCTTGCTGTCACACTTTCTGCTTTTCCCGGGCTTCGGCGGAGCTAGCATTCGTCTGATTGAAGTTACTCAAGGCTTGAGGGAAGGAAAGAGCTGCATCGCCATGACCTTAGCCGAGATGCTGATGGGCTTGGATGCTTTTCATCGCCGGGAGACGACTAGATTTGCTGGGAGTCCACTGCTGCTGCAGGTAATGTTTCCCACCCAATCTTACATATGTATTTGCTCACATCACTCGGCCCTCAGGCTCGGTTTTTCTCACAAAAACCCTCTTCTCACTTTTCTCTCACCGTACACCTCTCTATTCTTTATTCTCTCATTTTTCATCCCTCCCCAGGTATGGTTGATGGACAAATTGCAGGTTGTGGATTCTTGCCCAGCCTACACAGCTTGAGGCTATTTCTTTCGACAACGCCTAGTTTATGCCCTTGATGAAGGGTGGTGGTTTGACTGGATGTGCAATTTGTCTGCAGATCGCATTGCTTGGTGTTGTCCTTAGCTCAATCTCTCGGCAATGAGCTATAGGATGTCCCGGCTGAACGGGATCCAGTTGATTGGTCTGACCCACTGTGTGTTCTACTTTCCGTTCCGGTTCCTGCGCCAGTTCGG